AAAATTGAATTTTTTTATTTATTTAATGACGGTTAGAAAGTACAATTTTGAAGAAGAAAACGGAGATTTAAGAACTTTTCATAATTGGTCGTATTTTCTTTTAAACATTTGGATATTATTTTTGACATCTTTTAACTGTTACCAAATACTTTAAAGATCATAACTACCACGAAAGGTGATAATTTTTAACTCTTCTCTTTTTGAAATTCTTTTCCAACCACACTATGAAGCAGTAGTCTGTCCAATCATTTCTATTATTTGTGAACACCTCACGAGGAGCTTTGACAATCGTCATGTGGTGTTTTTTTTTTCTTTCTTTTTTTCCATTTTTTAAAATTATCTATTTGTTTATTTTGTTCGATTTTTTTAGATTTTTCTGAGTTTTTTTGTGTGATATATAAGTGGTTGTTATGAGATTTTTTGTGTTGTTGTAGCCTATCATGTAATGTACTTTAGGTTTGAAGATAGATTTACTTGTGAGTTACATATTTAAATTCTTCCTTTACTGCAAATCATTGTGAACATACATTACATTACAGTCAAATAATACACGTCTAAAACATATGAATTAATATTGATAATCATCTCGTTGAATTTTGTGCTAATTTTTAAATATATACACGKAAAAGGTGTTAAGGATCCCACATTGATAAAAGAAGGGACCTTACATAGATTTATAAACGACACTCACTTCCTCCACGTTCTCTACATGCACCATTCCCCACTTCCTATAAATACAACCAAGGGCCGCCGCCRTGGGGTAAGAGGGAGCAAGGTTTGGATGAGTGCTGCCGAGAGCTGATTGATATGGAACAACAACAATAGAGCCAAGGAAGGCAGGTGATAGAGAGGCTTTTAAGTGTTGGGTTTGTTAATTGTGGAAACAATTATCTCTTTTGGTATGAAGTCGTTTGGGTAAAACCAAAAGCAAAGCCATATCTGGGTACGCCCACCCTCCTTTTTCTAGGCCTGACRCATCCYCGTGTGTTGTTTTGTCTTGGACTCTTATACTAAATAACAACGGTTGTGTGTGACTCTTTCTTGAGATATGTGACAGCGTTTTCAAAATATGTAATAAATTGAAAGCCAATGGGCCGGAAAGAATTATTATTATTTGTGATTGGGTTCAACAACATACATTTATAATAAATACGATAAGGATATTACAACGATGAATTAAATAAACGCTAGACAAGTAAATGAATAAAAGCCACATGCAGAGTCTAAGAACAGTTGTAATTACATTCTTATCAATTGTAGACAAGCTTATGATTTTCGAAAATGTGTTTGTTGACAGTGTTGAAATTAACTTAAAATGTGTGTGTTGTTTTTTCACGAAGTTTACTCAAACATCTAAAATATAATTTTCTTTTCTACTATGTTAACCTTTACAATGAGTATTTAAAGGAAGTAAACTTAGTGTAAGAGATTTGAAAGTTTAGGTTCTCCACTTTTGTGTATATTTGCCGAAGTTAGATTCGTGTTTCCTTAATTGTTTGTTTTGAATATGTTGTTCAGCATGTGGGAGCGAGAGTTGAAGGAAGCAGGGACGAGAGTTTCTGTACTATGTTAGCTACATTTTGTAGTTTGACATTTCTCGTTTACACGGTATGAACTCTAACAACATATAATAGTAATATGTTAGCTACATGTGTTGTAGTTTGACATTTTGCAGATACTATTGTGAAATATTTGAGGTTTTTTTCAATTGCTTAGATTTTCCAAGAAGAACCTAGAGAACCATGGCAGGTAGCTACTTGGAATATTTAAAAAATGACTGTTGGGCCATTTTTTGTTGGGTTAGCAGTTACTTGGTATGTAATTTGTTCATGTACGGGGTTGATGGACATGAAAAACCTTCATTGATGTATATATAATTTACTATACGTATACACTTTATATTTGCAAGTGGGTTGGTGTACTAATGAATATATATGTTTTTGTATGTAAAATACGT